AGTGAACTGCAGGCACAGATCTTTCCGCTTTCCCTGGGATGCAATGGGCGGAAGAGTGATTATCACACACCCCAGTCCCTTGGACTCACCGTGAGCAGGTTGATCAAATCCATGTTGGGCTCTAAGTGGTGGGAGGCATTCTGCAGGGAGACCAGTTCACTCAGGGTGACGGAGAGCTGGTGCATTTTCACAATGTTCACTTTGTTCTCCTCCGTCCAGTCTGGGAAAATGACATGGACTGCTATCAAGTCTTTCAAGTGCACGCCAAGGATGGGGATTTTGAAGCCCTCACAGTCGGCAAAGGCCTTGCGGTAATTGCAGTAATTGCCGTTGGAGGAGACCAGCTCTGTCATTTCATTCCAGTTCTGGGAACAGATGGAAAAGAAGATTTTCAGACAGCCTTCCCATCTGCCCATCCCCAGGCCCGCAGTGTGTGGCTAGGAAATTCCTCGGCTACTGAGAGGAGTATCCATTGCACCAATGTTGATGCAAGGAAATATTAAACAGGAACAAGAAAGAAAAATGTACTAGGAGTTGAACAGCCTGTTCCATTCTGCTACAACATGCAAATAGCCCACACCTCCGCCTACCTATTAGGGAAGCTGGGATGTTAAATATCATGTCTATATACGTATTTTACAATTGAGGAAAATATTACGGTCCACAAATATATGCATGTATTGTATTATCTTTAAGCATGTAGTATATTAAAATTTCCTAGTTATTCCAAAGAAGTTGCATTTGAGATATATTACTTGAAGATTAATTTAGGACAGTATGGGGTAGGAAATGTCACACTGAGGTGTGAGACAGCTGTGGTTTTGAACTCTGCCACTCACTCTGCCACTCACAGGGTGACCCTGACCAAGTCACTTCACCTTTAGGGCCTCAGTTCCCTTTTCTATAAGAAAGAGGAGTTCAAATAAATAACTTTTAAGACACACTGGTGGTACCTCGCCTCTTTGAGCCTCTGTTGGATTCATATTCTTCACCAGGGGAAAGTCTGCAATCATGTCAACATTAAAAACTTTTAATAAAAAAAGTGTGTTTTGCTCTTTATTTGAAATTCAGTACAAAGCTGAAGGAAAATGAAACACATAATGAGCCCTATCATACTTGGAGTGAGTGCAGTGCTTGAGGTCAGACACCAGTGCTCTGTGGTCTACGTCCTCCTGTTTCTATGGACAAGCTATTGTTGGTTGCCTAACAGCAACCAGACCTTCCTAATAGACCCTGATTTTGTTCAGTCTACTCTTTCCCAAAGCAGCCCATGTGACTCAGAGGGAGCTGTTTCCAGCCCCAGGTCCAAGGATGGGTTCTGATTTACCTATCATAACCCCACCCCTCTGGTTTGTGATTGGTTCAGAAACACAGAGTTAAGCCAATCAGTACATTGTATTCCTCTGGCAATTGTTATTGGTCCAGAAGTAGACATATGACTTGAGATGGTCCAATCTGTCTAAAAAGAAGGTCTTTAATTCCATAGGG